TAGCCTTACGTGAAGGATCAATGCCTAAGGTCCTCATCTTGTTGAGGGCTTCTGTTATGACACACACACACCTGGCTGCCATCTAAAGAGTACCTTCCAAGCAACAGTATCTAAACAAACCACTGACCTTCTAGCCATTATTTTCTTGCATTGGAACACAGCAGAGGTGGTATATTTCTCTGTCTGGTTAGGGAATGGACAAGCAAGTTAACCAGCCTGAAATATCACAGTAAACAAACTATGGCCGAAAGTCTTGACTTATTGTGCTCACAAGTAACCACTCTCTCCCACCTGTTCTACATTAACTGGAACATAATGCTCATTTAAAAAATATTCAGGATTAGTGCTACAAATATTTAGGACTAGATAATCTATCCCTGAAATTACTTCCAAACTACTCTGGGTTTTCCAAACTCAACTGTGAGCCTGTATCAGATTGTTTCATGGCCAGAGGTGACTAGAAGTATGAAAGCCTTTATTCCTCCCTCGATGACGCCTCCGTATGTGCATCAAATATCTCTCGCCTGCTCACCCACCCGCCTGTTAAGATACAGGGTCTGACGTATGAGACATGTTGATGGAGAAAAATACTTGATTTAGGAGAAACATAGCAAAGAGGCTTTATTATTGGAACTCCACTTAAGAGATGAAAAATTACTTAGGATATTTTGCTGTGCTTACTTCAGGTTTGGGAAAGAACTGGTGGAGGCCTAATGCTGAAAGGCAGGAAGGAAGGCAACCCTAAGAGTATCGGTCTGTGCTGTATACCAAAGACAGAGATGAGACAGGGATGAGAAGCTCCAAGTGGCCTTAATGATGCATCTCCTGCTACTGCCCCCTGTAGGCTTATAGTCCCTTCTGCAAAGCATGATGTGTCTTTTTCCACTTCTGGTACCCCACTTCTCTTCAGATTCCTTCCCCACTGAATTGACCTTTTGCTGTTCTGTCCAGTAGAGCCGTGGCAGGAGAAGGAAAGGAGGGACCCATTGGACCCTGGAGCTCTTCCAGAATGTTCTAGGAGGGCTGCACCCCATGAACATTTTAGACCACGGAGCCAGGCTTTGCTTTGTATGCTTTAGCCACATGGCCCATTTCTGTTGAGCATCTCTTCTAAGAGCTTCCGAGTCCCTGGATTCCAACTGAGACGCTACGTCCTAATGAACAATGACAACCTTTTACTTAATCTAGTCCTTGTTTGATCGAGTTCAGGGTCCCTAATCCTCATTTTATCTCCATGCATAACATCAATCTTCTAGCAATTGGAATGTGGAATCTTATTATGTAGCATGATCAATACCCCTCAAACGATGTTAAGTCATTCATTGCTGCATAATACTTAACAAAATGATTGATTTTGTTTTCCCAGCACTGCCATACCTATCTGGCCTGAAAGGGCTTAAAAACACACATACACACATACACACATAACTATCACATGACCAGAGGAAATAGTAAAACTTTCTATCTACTCTCTCACCTGTTCCCCCCTCCCGCTTCACAATTCCCTCTTCATTTCACAAGGTTAAAAAAAGAGAACACACTGTTAGTAGCTCTATATCAAACAATGCTATCCGAGCTATTGTTGTTGCAACGAAAAATGTTAATGTTCACGATCATCCCCACAGCCACGTATATCGCCAATGTGAATCATAACACGCAGGCAGCAGCGTTGATCCATATATGAAAATTAGTTCTAGCAGTAGACACAGACCTTTGGTACGGCTAATGGATATTAATTTCCCATTCAAGACCAAACCACCACAAAATACTCTACATCACCACGGGGACAGCTTACAACAAATTATTGTTTTCGGGAAACTCCATTCCTCTCACCTCATTTTCCCGGAAGCTAACGAGAGATTACAGCTAATCTCAGAAGAGATAGTGATGTTGGGTGGAGGCAACAGACAACATAGCTGTCTCTGGTTTGGGATGTTGGGGGGAGGCACTTTCATAGCGTAACATAGTTCAGGGGAGCCCAAAATGGGGTGAATTCCCCCTGCATCCCCAGAGGGTGCCAAGGAGATTTCTGAGCAAAAGCTGGGGTTACATATGGCCCCCCCCCCAGATATCTGCATGCTGCATTTTGACAATCCTTTAACTTTAAAGCATTCATTTAAACTATACGCCCCCAAACGTGCAAAGTTTTTTTTTCCCATCAAGAAAATTCTGCCCATAAGTGGCACCATTTTATTCAGAAAGGAAATTGTTCCAAACACATATAGAGCAGAGATGGGAGAGAGATGAGGGGAATATATAAATCAGAAGAGGACTTATGTGTTATTTAAATCCAGACTTTAATTTATACTGAGTTGGCCTTTGCTTTGCTATTCCAGAATCCTTCCTGCCCAGGCTGGTTTTGTGGGAGAGTCTTACAATTCTTCATCTATTAATTTGATTTCTTTCCTCTTCCACAAGATGTCTGTCCAGACACGTACCTCTCCTGCTGTTATTGTTTCTTTGTTGTGTTGTGGGCATCACAGCCCTAATAAAATTGGCATGGCTCCACTCTTGAGATTGGCAGTTGCCTTTTCTGCTACTGGTCAGTACGTTTCTATATAGATCTGGTGGCGTGATTTAACAACGTTTCTATTGGGGAAATATTAAAGTTAAATTGCATCCAAGTCAACTAAACCTGTGTACCATAGACAGAAGTACTTCACATTTCTTCCTGCCCCGATTAAAATATTAATGGGGGCAGGAAGAAAACCTGAAACACAAGCCAAGTTAATGATATCTGTTGACTGTTTTGTGGGTTTTTTTTTTTAAATGTATTATCACTTTCCTTCTGTATTGAATGTTACACCATACAATTTGAAAACATTAAAAAACTAAAAAAAAAACCCAACTTGAACAATGGGAACAAAGAAAGCCAGTGGGTGTTAGAATCAAAAAGCTAAAAACCGATCAGATGACAGTGGCGTCATGGGGAATGTGAAGCCTTCTGAAGAAACTTAGAGGGCCAGATTAAGGATCACAAGAGCGTAGGATTTAGACTCAGGACTTGAGGTCCCCCACCCCTTTCCTGATAACCTTAGTGATATGATAGACAGGGTGAGATAATCCAGCAGGTTTCTCTGGCTCCTTATCTAAACCACGCAAGCAAACAAGACATTCACAGAATGATGAAATTATAGAATAATGGTGATGGAGTGCCTGACCACCTTATCCATCTCCAGTGATAAAAGGGGCCTTTAAGACCACTGAGTCCAACCCCCTGCTCAAGGCAGGAATCCAAATCAATGCAGAGCTAACAGATGATGGCCCTTTTTTTTCTTGAATGCCTTCAGCTCTGGAACACTCACCAAGTCATTGGTTCTATTGTTGTACTGCTCTAACAGTTAGGAAGTTTTTCCTGCTATTCAACCAAAATCTGGTTTCCTGTAACTTGAGTCCACTATCACATGTCCTGCATTCTAGAATGACTGAGAACAGATGCTGCCCTTCCTCTGTATGACAATCTTTCAAAGTATTTGAAGAATGCTATCCTATCTCTACTGGTTTTTCCAGGAGCGATGTATGGAAGGGAGAGCTGGACCATGAAGAAAGCTGACCGCAGAAGAATTGAAGCTTTTGAATTGTGGTGCTGGAGGAGACTCTTGAGAGTCCATTGGACTGCAAGGAGAACAAACCTATCCATTCTGAAGGAAATCAACCCTGAGTTGATCACCAGAAGTAGCCTAAATTTTACACCAAGAAATAGCATACAGGGGAATTAAAGTTCATGTATTGTATATATATAATAAATGGAAAAGACCCTGATGTTGGGAAAGTGTGAGGGCAAGAGGAGTAGGGGATGACAGAGGACGAGATGGTCGGACGGTGTCATCAAAATGACCAACATGAATTTGACCCAACTCCGGGAGGCAGTGGGAGACAGGAGGGCCTGGCGGGCTCTGGTCCATGGGGTCACGAAGAGTCGGACACAACTTAACAACTAAACAACAACAATCTTATCTCTCTGCTGTCTTCCTTTCTCAAGGCTAAACATACCCTCTCTGCAGTCTTCCTTTCTCAAGGCTAAACATACCCAGTTCTTTCAGTCTTTCCTCCTAGGGCTTGGTTTCCAGTCCCCTGAACATCTTTGCTGCCCTCTTCTGAACTTGCTCCAATTTGTCAGCATCCTTCTTAAAGTGTGGTATGCAGAACTGGACACAGTCGAGGAGGCTTAACCAGTGCTGAACAGAGAGGTAGAGGAGGCTTAACCAGTGCTGAACAGAGAGGAACTAGTACCTCAAGGGATTTGGAGATTATACTGCAGCCTAAAATAGTATTTGCCTTTTTTATAGGCACATCGCACTGTCGGCTTATATTCATCTTGTGATCTACAATTCCAATATCCTTCTTTTTCATACTATTCTTGAGCCAAACATCTCCCACTTTGCAACTGTGGATATAATTTACCCACCCCTCTAGGTGTAGTAATTTGCACCCTCTTAAATTCTATTCTGTTGTTTTCAACCCATGCTCAAGCTGATTAAGACCATTTCAAATTTTGTTTCTGTCTTCCAGGGTATTATGTATCCCACCCAATTTTGTACCATCCACAAATCTGATAAGCCTTCCCATTTTATTTCATCCAAGTGAAGAGCACCAGGCACTGGTGAAGAGCACCAGGCACTCAGGACTGAGTATTGTGGTCAAAATCCTGCTGCACCCTTACCGTTGGCAGAAGTCCAGTTGTTGTTAATTAACAAGTCATTTGGATTCCTCAACATGTGCCACCTGGCTTGCTTGACACATGACCAGGAATTTTATTAATTAGTGTAATTTTACCATTGTGTGTCACACCACTGCCCTTCGTTCAGCATCACTCAACAACAGAATTTTGGTCTTTGCTAAAATTTGCTTCTTGACTTTTCATTTCATTTTATTTTTCTCTTGTCCTTTTCCATACTGCTAAACTTTAACTATTCAAAAGGTCGGTCTGTCCACAGATTCAGGTTCACGGTGGGTGGACAAACCACTCTAGGCAAACAGCAGAAAAGAGGGCAATTTACCTGGATCATTTAGGAAGTCGTCCAACGATGGCCATATCTTCTGATCTGAAGCAAAAGTGCCATTGGTAGAGTTAAATTCCTCATAGTTCCGGACACATTTGTGCCTCAGATTTCCCATAAAGAGTTGGAGCCCTATGAGGGCAAAAACACTCAAGCAAAAAACCGTCAAGATCATCACATCCGCAAGTTTCTTAACTGATTGGATAAGGGCACCTACGATGGTCTTCAGACCTAAAGAAACAGAGGCAAAGGTATTTACAAGGTGAAATGCAACTCAATAGAGGCATCAGCGGAGGATCACGACACAGTCTACGACAGTTAGCATCTATAAGGCACCCATCCCAGCTGCTCCCCAACTTCAAAATGCATGGCAGAGGTAGAGTTCCCATCGAATTTCACTGTAAGTGAAATCCGGGGATAGTTTGGAGGGTTCAGGTCAGGCAAAACATTTTTCGGGATAAACCAAACCAATCAAACAAAGAAACCTCAATAGGACTGGTGAAATTTCTCAGGCACGGTAAGGCCGCTACTCCTAGGTAAGGCAAAAAAGTATCTCCTTGAGATTTGACTTCTCAGATTATTGTCTTCCTGACTAACATGAGTCAGCCTCCTGAATATCCGTAGAGTATCTGCCATTGATTCTAAAGGATTTGCCTTCTAGTTATCAACAGCAATAAAAACAATTAGCGCTCGGGAACATATGAACTAAGGATCTGATGGCAGTGAAGCTGCTAAAATCCAAGGGAAACACAATTAATAGCTGTGTTTTTTTAGTACAGTACATGTCACTAATACAATCCACAAATTTACAGTTTGTTTGATATCAAACAGTACTTTCTAATACAGGGAAGGAGCTGGTATCTAAATACGGTCCATGCACACAAGACAGAGGGAGACTATTATTGGCAGACAAATTTATGCTAGATTTCTGAAAGTATCTGGATTCATAATATTTCGGATTTCAGTATTGGGAGTGAATCTGGAAAACTGCGAAAGCTCCTTAAAGTTGTGGTTTAATTCTAGTGTTTCTAAGAGTGTCAGGGTCCCTGGGGCTCAAGTTTTGATAGGACCAGCTTTTTAAAAGTACTGTAAAAGATAACTTTGGCCTGGCACATGGCAAAAACTTCTCCCCATGATGAACACTAGCAGCAATGCTCAAAAAGGAGGGACAAACATGGAAGGAAATCTTGATTTGGCTGGCTGTATTCATTCCGTTTTCTTACCCACCCACACCAAATTACGAGGCATGTTGATCATTGGTGCTGTCCTTTTATAGATATCAGTTTATTAAAGGGAGAGTGTTCCTCAATGAGAAGATCAGTAATGGCTAGAGCTTAGAAAAGTTACTCTTTTTTTTTTGGATAACCACTCTCAGAATCCCCCATTTCACATACTGTAGCTACTGGCCAAATTAAAGGATGCTGGGAGTTGTAATCCCCCCCAAAATGTTCATTTTTCCAAGCTCTGGTAAAGGCAGATAAGCTTCCCAGAGAGTAAGCTGGTTCCATCACTTCCCATCCAGATGAATACATGAAATACATTCAGACTATTATTTTGTTTAGTTGACAATTGCCCACTGAACCGGCAGCAGTTCTGTAAGGACCAAGGCAGATATCCTTCCCCTTGATGCCAACCTGAGCTTCTTCTCCACCTGATACGACAGAGACCGGAAGCATTTTTAATTCATGCAAAGCATATACTCTACACACCAATAAGCTACAGACTATCCTTTGCAAAAAAAAGGACAGACTGAGATATTTGGTCTCAGCTAAACTGTATGCATGGCCTAAAATAATTCCCAGGTCCTTCTCCAACAGAGGAGATCCCACAGCAAAAGCAGGTGAGTTTCTTGGCAGTGAAATTTGCATGAAAAGGATTTGCTGAAGGGAGAAAGTTGAAAAGCTTTTGCCTGATGGGAGGGTTGTCACTGCGGCTCACAGTTGGGGGTGGAAAAGCATTTTGGTGGATTCTTCTGTCTCTACACAGTAGCCTTTTCAAACCTCCTCAGATTTGATGTAGGAAGAAACACTCTTTGCCCCGGGAAGATGCAAATTTATGAGAAATCAAGCATGCATTTTAAAAAGCAAACAGCTGAAAGTGCATACAAGGGGGGGGATAAGCACAAACACGCTTCGTCAACAGAGCGAAACGTTAAATAATATTTGCACATTAGGAAAAAATTGACTAAAAATGCATACGAATTTCAATGTGAGAATTAGGGGCGGAAAATGAAGCCTTGAAAGCAATCTGGTAAGAAATGAAAAGGGGAGCAGGTAGTATTTGGAGAAACACCATGGAATAAAGGTGGAAGACCTTCTTCCATCTCGTCTCACGACAACAAGGACTGGGCAAGAGGCTGGTCCTCTTTCTAACGTTCATCCATCTTTCTAACGATTTTATTTTTGCGATGCAGAAACAGAATAGCCAGACAGGTCAGCCCATCAATTAGAAATCCATTTGGATATGTTGTTATGAACCTATGTCCAAAGCTTGGAGTCCTTCCTGTTGCAATTCGGTCATGGTCAGTTGACTGTGTGGTTCATCTTTGTTTCCTCCTCTTTGATTTGTGGGCTTCGTATTTCTCAAATAGCAATGGACAGGAATGTCACTCGGGTAGCCCAAGTTGTTTGTTTAGACTACAACTCCCAAACGGTGCCAATTCTGGGAGTTGCAGTCCAAACAAGGCACTCTGCACGGTATTGGCCAACCACCCTTCATCAACAAGCGATTCAGGATAACATCTCCCTGGACTGTCAACTAGCTGATGCTGAAACAACATACGATGCCTCCCAAGTGACAGTAATAATGACACCAAGAAGCAACAGCAGCTTTTAAAAATGATGTACTGCACATGGGCAGGTGTGTCTAGAGTTAGTATAAATTTAATGGAAATGTGTGGTTGTTGTTTTTAACAAACACATGGAAGTGTTCCCCTCTGAATTAGCTTAGACTATGCAAGAGGAAGGCAGGAGGGTTGGGAAGAAAGGATATATTAAGTTGCTGAACTTCAGAAATATTTTTTTAACTCACAACTCTCAGAACCCACCAGCAGCAGAACCACAACTGGCAGCCATTCTGGCTGGGGATTCTGGGACTTGTGATCCAAAAATAAACCTTCTCTAAGCTCTGAGAAGTCACCCGGATTTAATAAAGGATAAGCTATGTACGATCGAATCCACGTGACGGAGTGAGCGCCCGTCGCCTGTCCCAGCTCCCGCCAACAATTTAATAAAGGATATTACAAGAAGCTATGTACTTACTAAATGAAAGATGACCTTTCCCACGCACACCCATGAACATACCCGCTTACTCTGCACATGCGCACAAGCGTGCCACGCCCACCATGCGTGCTTGGGGGGGCCGGGAGATCTATCTCTGTGGGCTTCACAGGACCGGGCTGCCGAGCAGGCTTCGGGGACCCCTGCTATAAACATCTATCTATTGGGGCAACAGATCTTTTGCTAGGACAAGCACCCACCGGCTGCAGACCCGCCCTCCAGAGCTGATGAACGGCAGCTTATTAGGGAACAAATTCTATCTGAAGGAGGCCAAACTATTTGTTAATGTTAGTGTTTCTTAATATGAACCACAGAAAACCAGCCGGTTTGGTTGCACCCCAAATGATCATGTTTATTCAGGCCTCTTGCAGTGCTGCTGGAGGCCACTTCCCATACAGGCTTTGGGGACCCCTGCTATAAACATCTATCTATTGGGGCAACAGATCTTTTGCTAGGACAAGCACCCACCGGCTGCAGACCCGCCCGCCAGAGCTGATGAACCGCAGCTTATTAGGGAACAAATTATATCTGAAGGAGGCCAAAATATTTGTTAATGCTAGTGTTTCTTAATATGAACCACAGAAAACCAGCCGGTTTGGTTGCACCCCAAATGATCATGTTTATTCAGGCCTCTTGCAGTGCTGCTGGAGGCCACTTCCCATACATCCCGGCCACTCTAGACAGACACTACATATTATGGGAGTATGTAACTTCTATGAAATATTGGTTCAGCCTAATGGGATGGGACTAGGGGAGAGCAGGGCTGTGAGTAAGAATTTTGGATCAGAAAGAGAGAGAGCGCTGAAGAGGCCAGAGCTGTTGTGGCCGCTTAGACGGTTGACGCTCTTGCAAACTTTGTCTAGATACAGTTCCTACCTGTTTGTGTTGGAGGGGTGAGTAGTGAATTCATAAATTGCATACAATTAAACTCTTTTACTTTAGGGTTTTGCAGATTTCACATCTGGAGCTGATTCTTCTAGATACTGGACACCTCAACCAGTTTGAGGATGATGTCCTGGATTTTTTCCCCCCCTGAATTCGAATTCACTTGAACAGTACCATTCTATGAGCAACTCCTTTATTGGTGTTGTGGGCAAGGATTTGGATACGCAAATTGTAGCCTTTTGTTGTTATACTTGATCCTGTTATACATTATATAACTGAGAATACCAAAAAGGGCTCATTTTGTGAAATTGCGTTTACAAGGTTCATCAACAGATATCTAAGTAAGCAAATGGCCTCATAAAACTCAAAAGTGTTACAAGCCGCAACAACCGTCTGGAGAGGAAATATTAAAATCTAGGAAAGCTGCCTTCCTTCTCTGCTCACACCATCAAACTTACTGGGTGGCCTCTGGTCAAGCGCCGTGTCCCTACTTCACAGGACTGGTCAAAGGAGAAAGGGAAATGGGCCCCAGGCTCGAAGCTGTCTTGCGGGAAAGGCAAGAAACAGAATATTTTGACAGTAATTGGGTTTATATTTTAACTATTTACCTACATTGTAGCCCCAGTGAAATATGCATAGTATATTTTTAACTATGTGTTACATTAAATGAAAGGCAATTATTGATAACAAAAACTATTGAATCAATATAGAGACTAGTACCCTGTTGCCTAAACATGGAAGTCGCATAAATAAGTGTAGTTCTCATTCCAGGAGGCTCCCCACTATGTGATCAGTTGCGAAACCCTGCGGCACAGCGGATCAACTGCAGTACTGCAGTCAAGACTCTCCTCATGGTCTGAGTTCAATCCCGATAGGGTCAGGTAGCTGGCTTGAGGCCTTCCATCCTTCCGAAATCAATAAATTGAGCACCCAGTTCACTGGAGAGTGTAGCAATGTGCAGCCTGCATAATTATATTGTCAACTGCCCAGAGGGTGCATTGGTTCTACGTGTTCTACGTGTCTGGGCTGTCAAGTCAAAACCGACTTATAGCAACCCTAATAGAGCTT